AAGCATGTGTATCGCAATAGACGTTTTTCATGCGTAGCACACCCAACACATACATTTACATTCAAATGTTTGTATATGTGGGGATGGGGGCAAGCTAAAAAAAAAGAAACTTTTTTTTGGGGGGGAGGGATTTTAACTGCTTGGGTATAACTTTATTTTGTTACATTAATCAAAGGGTTAAACTGCGTTAAAAGACTCTCTACTCGCTAAACTTTTTTTTTTGCATTGGTACATGTCCCCCATGACAGTGCCCAGCATCTCACACCACTTTATCAACAATAGTTTGCATATTAACCTTGAAAATGTGCAGACAAAAAGCTATGCCCCTCCCATATATTTTATTAGAATGTGGCACTATGTTTGGAGTTTGTGGAGTTCCCGATGGGTGCAAAACTGAACCCAGGGCCGGATTTACATCTCAGCAGCCTATAGGCAGAGAATTCTGAAACACCCCCCCCCCCTCTCCCCAGGGAGGGCTGAGAGGCTCTGCAGATTGTCTTTCTGATACCTCCCCCTAATCTAGAGACTTGGAGAAGTCTCTAGAATAGAGTGGGTGGGGGTGAGGAGTGGCTGGTCTGCACTCTTGGAGGACCCTGACCAATCCCCAAGCAGGATGTTTGGCATGGGGTCAGGACAGCCCTAAGAGCGGCTGAACCTGCTCAACAGCAGGAGGGATGGAATGAGCAGGATGTTATGTGGAGGCTGAGAGGGGGTCCAAGAGAGGGGCCTACCTGCAGGCAGAGGAGCTGGAAGAGAGGATCTCTCAGCCTCAACCGTTCCCTGAGAGAAGACATTCTGGAAAGCAGGGAAGGAGCCAGCCTAGCCTAAGGCCTGAAGGCGCCACCAACCCACAAGCTTGCAGGAGAGAGTGAGTAACCCCACACCCCCTGATAAGCGGAAAGGGCATTCAGGTGGGATACCTGCCACCTGAAACTGCTTTCATCTAAAGTGGCAGCTTCTGGAACCTCTTGGCCTTCGGGCAGCTGGGTGAAGAGGAGATATCATTTGGGGTCTGAGGTATACTCAAGGAGAGGCTGGCTAGCTCTCCAAGAAAAGAAGAGAAACCCCTTCTGGCTGCTTGTACATAGTTCCAGAAAGTTGTCCTCAGTTTTACAGTTCCTTGGGCCTCCCATGTATCCCTCATAGTCATCCAGGTAGAGGGGCCTACCTGCAGGCAGAGGAGCTGGAAGAGAGGATCTCTCAGCCTCAACCGTTCCCTGAGAGAAGACATTCTGGAAAGCAGGGAAGGAGCCAGCCTAGCCTAAGGCCTGAAGGCGCCACCAACCCACAAGCTTGCAGAAGAGAGTGAGTAACCCCACACCCCCTGATAAGCGGAAAGGGCATTCAGGTGGGATACCTGCCACCTGAAACTGCTTTCATCTAAAGTGGCAGCTTCTGGAACCTCTTGGCCAGGGATTCCTTCGGGCAGCTGGGTGAAGAGGAGATATGATCTGGGGTGTGAGGTGGTACTCAAGGAGAGGCTGGCTAGCTCTCCAAGAAAAGAAGAGAAACTCCTTCTGGCTGCTTGTACATAGTTCCAGAAAGCTGTCCTCAGTTTTACAGTTCCTTGGGCCTCCCATGTATCCCTCATAACCATCCAGGTTATCATCCCCTAAAAAAATCCAAAAAAACAAGTTCAAGGTCTGTTTACTGCCTCTGGAGTGCAAGGCTGGAAGAAAATGCGTGTTGCCTGACTGTGCAGGACTATAGGGGACCCAAATCTCCAGCAACTGCTACAGGGGTAGTGCTACAATAAAATATTTTTATATGTGTAAGGAGGAATGCTGCAGACTTAAAGATGTAAAGGGGAACACTGCGGACTGTGATGTAAAGGGGAACTCTGATGTAAGGGGGTTTCTGGTCTGTGTGCCTATTGGGAATTTCGGCCCTGACTGAATCCAGGTAGATTCCCTCATCCCTAGTCATGCGATAGCTCATGAAACCATTCTCGGTCCCTAGGTACATTATTCATTGTTCTTTGGTATTTTGTTACAGTACACAGAGTCACCGTGACCCAATCACACTTCCTCATGCAATGTTTTTCATTAATAAAATTCTCGTCCCGTACCATACAAACCCACCCCAGTCTGACTTCAACTCCGGGAGTTTATTCATAAACCTGCAGGTAAAAGCACAGAAAATTGAATATATTAAATAATTATCTGCAGCATATTTCCATTTCATAATTATTTTTTAACCACTTGCCACCTGACCAGAGTGTGGGTGGGCGGCACAGCCAGGCTCGGCGACATAAATATAGGTTGCCCTGCATATGTGCACCGGCATGCCCACGTCCTGTGACCAGAGGTGTCCCTAGGGTTGGTGCGTTAACACTTGGTGACACCCCCTCTGACGATCCCTGCAGAATGGATCCGATCTGCGGATTGAGCATAATGGATCAGAGTCCAACCCATTATGCTCAATCCGCAGATCGGATCCATCCTGCGGGGATCGTCGGCTTTCTTTACAACTTACCTTTTCTTGGAGCGGGTCCGGGACAACTGCGCATGTCCGGGACAACTGCGCATGTCCCGGTTTCAGGCGCGATCAATCGATGATAGCAGTAGTTCTATCAACGAATGATCGTGCCTGAAACCAGGACATGCGCAGTTGCTTCAGGGGGACATATCTACATGGGAGACACATCTTGCCGATACACCGGTGTCACCCTGCAGGATCATCCGCATGCAACCTATACGGGGCAGGGGTGGACTGACAACTCATGGGGCCCCCGAGCAATAGGGGATCATGGGGCCCTTATGTCCTTGCCCACACTCAAAAAAGCCTATGAAAAAGGTACCAGGGGCATCTCATGGGGCCCCCTACTGACCCCGGGCCCTCGGGCAGTGCCAGAGTTTCCAAATGGTCAGTCCGCCCGTGATATGGGGTGACACCGGCCCCGCTCCAAGAAAAGGTAAGTTGTAAAGAAAGCCAACGATCCCCGCAGGATCAGGGGCGGACTGACCATTTGGAAACTCAGGCACTGCTCGGGGGCCCTGAGTCAGTAGGGGGCCCCATGAGATGCCCCTGGTACCTTTTTCATAGGCTTTTTTGAGTTTGGGCAAGGACACCCCATCATCCCCTATTGCCTGTGGGCCCCATGAGTTGTCAGTCTGCCCCTGCGCAGGATGGATCGGATCCATCCTGCGGGGATCGTCAGCTTGCTTTACAACTTACCTTTTTGTGGAGCGGGTCCGGTGTCACCCCGTGCGGTCGGTGTCACCCGGGGCGACCGCTCCCCCAGCACCTGCTTCGGGACGCCACTGCCCGTGACCATTGTAGCTACAGGAATGCGTGAATGAATTTCATTAAAACAGCTGTGATTCATGTAGAGCAGGGGTGGTCAACCTGTGGCCCCCGGAGCCCTCTGATGTGGCCCTCGACCTCATACCGAATGCATGATTTTTGGTGCATTTTCAGAAAGTGCACCACATCTGCAAGGTATAATAGGTGCCTATGGCAAAGTGCAGAAAAACTCAGCATCCACAGTGCAGGTAAACTGCAGCGCATTAGTGTGAAAGGAGCCTTATAGAGGGTTCAGGACAGTAAGGGCTCATGTATATTTGCAGGTTGGAGTGGTGCTGAAACCTCATGGTTGAGATGAGTTTTACCACCCCCCCCAACACTGATGTAGCATCAGGGGTTGCAGTGGCAACCCCACCTCATGCTTCACGGGGCCCGTGAGGCCTCCCTGTCACATTCTGTTTTACACTTCGACAGGAGGGGCAGTGGGGCTACCAATCCTCTCCATTTTCCTATTTCAACTGCTGAAAGCTGGATTCTCCTCTTCCTCCCGTCGGCATTCAGCAGCTGCAGGAGTAAAATGTTTGTTATGCTATTTAAAATAAACATTTCAAAATTCTAAACAATTTAATTTCTTTGTGGCCCGTAACTGGTCACCAAATAACTTAAAGTGTTACTAAACCCCCAACAGTACAATCAGTCTGTAGATGCAGTAAAGTATGCTTGTTATACTCACCGTGGAACCTAAGAGGTTAATCCTCCACATTGTGTAAAAAGGCTGTTTGATCCTGTCTTCTCGGATCCTCCCTTTCTTCTACTGTCCCCAATCCATCTGCTGATAGAACAGAGCCTTGGGGGCAAGTTGCACATGCTCAGTTTGGTGTGAATTGCTAGAGAGTTTTTTTTTTCTTGGGAGGGTGCATGTAATCAACACAGGGCCAATCAGCACTGTCCAGACAGAGATCAGGGGTTCTGCATCCTTCTAGAGCAAAATAAAAACTCCTCCTACAAGCTTTAACCAGTGATCTTCTGGACACTGATAGAAGTCACAAGACTGCTATATACTGTTGATGAGAAAAGGTATTTAGCAGTTTATATTTACTAAAATGATTGCATTTCCATGTTCTGTGTACTGTGGGAGACCAGATATAGTGAATGAAGGGTCCGGGGAGACCGGATATAGGGCAGGGTCTGGGGACCAGAAATAGTGAATGCAGGGTCCGGGGAGCAGGGTCCAGGGAGAGCGGATATGGATATAGTGAATGCAGGGTCCGGGGAGACCAGAAATAGTGAATGCAGAAATCCGGGGAGAATGGATATAGTGAATGCAGGGTCCGGGGGAGACCAGATATAGTGAATGCAGGGTCCAGGGAGAGCGGATATGGATATAGTGAATGCAGGGTCCGGGGAGACCAGATATAGTGAATGCAGAGTCCGGGGAGAGAATGGATATAGTGAATGCAGGGTCCGGGGGGAGACCAGATATAGTGAATGCAGGGTCCAGGGAGAGCAGATATGGATATAGTGAATGCAGGGTCCTGGGGAGACCAGATATAGTGAATGCAGGGTCCGGGGAGAGTGGATATAGTGAATGCAGGGTCCGGGGAGACCAGATATAGTGAATGCAGGGTCCGGGGGAGCCAGATATAGTGAATGCAGGGTCTGGGGGAGACCAGATATAGCGAATGCAGGGTCCGGGGAGCCAGATATAGTGAATGCAGGGTCCAGGGGAGACCAGATATAGTGAAATGCAGGGTCTGGGGAGACCAGATATAGTGAATGCAGGGTCTGGGGAGACCAGATATAGTGAATGCAGGGTCCGGGGAGACCAGATATAGTGAATGCAGGGTCCGGGGAGACCAGATATAGTGAATGCAGGGTCCAGGGAGACCAGATATAGTGAATGCAGGGTCCGGGGAGACCAGATATAGTGAATGCAGGGTCCGGGGAGAGCAGATATAGTGAAATGCAGGGTCCGGGGAGACCAGATATAGTGAATGCGGGGTCCAGGAGAGACGGATATATAAATGCAGGGTCCGGGAGACCAGATATAGTGAATGCAGGGTCCGGGGAGGGCGAATATAGTGAACGCAGGGTCCGGGGAGACCAGATATAGTGAATGCAGGGTCCGGGGAGAGCGGATATAGTGAATGCAGGGTCCGGGGAGAGCTGATATAGTGAATGCAGGGTCCAAGGAGACCAGATATAGTGAATGCAGGGTCCGGGAGACCAGATATAGTGAATGTAGAGTCCGGGGAGAGCTGATATAGTGAATGCAGGGTCCGAGGAGACCAGATATAGTGAATGTAGGGTCTCGGGAGACCGGCTATAGTGAATGCAGGGTCCGGGGAGAGCGGATATAGTTATACTCCACATGTTATGTCTTATCAGGAGATAAAAGGGCACTGAAAGAAGGGGAGGATCAGAGAAGACAGGATCAAACAGCCTTTTTACACAATGTGGAGGATTAACCCCTTAGGTTCCACAGTGAGTATAACCAGCATGCTTTACTACATCTACAGACTGATTGTACTGCTGTGGGTTTAGTAACACTTTAATTCCCAGCACTGTTGCTCCTCTCTGGCCCTTCTGTCCCCGGCAATGACCCCTAGTAGAGCAATGACTCTCCTGTTACCTGTTCTTGATTTCGATAAAGATAAAATCAATGATACTATTGTCACAATTAACACTGCCAGGCCTTCCAGGTGTCACAGAGAGCGATCGCAGGGTGGGGGCCCAATAAAGTACTGCTATGGGGCCCCGTGCATGTAGGTAGGCCCCCTGCAAGTGTTCATAGTCTGGAAATACAATTTTTTGTCAGACGTATGTCTTGTGTGATAAATTGGACACCTATACATTATCTACTTCCGCATCACCAGATGTAGAGATATGAAGGTGACAATAACAAGATAATGAGTGTGATGGATTGATGACTTGTGTACGCAGATATGGAACTGGTGTCAGGGGCAGGACAGTGAAGAAACACGTCATCCCGTGTCTGTGGCCCCGTCACAATGTCTTTTCTCCAAATTCCATGGTCCCAGTACAAGATATACTGCTCAGTGTCTGTGCCCCCCCCCCCCTCCTCCATCTCATGGTACAATGCCTATCCCCTAGTTCTTTACTCCGAAATGCGTCGGATTACTATAAGACCATTTCTGTAACTAAACAAATATCTTATGATGGCGATGTAACGATATGCTATGACCTTTGGGATTGTTTCTTGGATACACAGAATATAAACTGGATTATAACATTTATGTAGGGAAAGTTGATCCAGGGAATATCTGATTGCCTCTCGGGGGATCGGGAAGGAATTTTTTTCCCAGCAGGTGCAAATTGGATCGTGCTTTTGCTGGGGGTGTTTTGCCTTCACCATCTGGATCATAACTGTGGGGGTGTAGGATTTTAACTTTTATTTTTTTTTAAGCTGTAAACTGTTGAACTGGGATGGACTTTTGTCTTTTTTCAGACAAGACTAACTATGTAACTATATATTACCCCCGGTGGTACAATCTCATTAGTTAAAACCTCATCCTGGAATATTTGCAGTTCATTGTTTTGGAACAACTAATTCACAATTAAAGAACATTGCTGGGGTACTGGTTGTAAGAAAGTACAGAGCGAAGGGCAACCAAAACTGGATAAAACGCAAGGGGAGGCGAGTCAGCTATGAGGAAAGATTCGAGAGGAACTGAATGTATTCTCTTATTTTAGGATAAAAGAGGTGATTAAGGGGGGGATATTGATCTCCATGTATAATACATAAGGGGGGATATGATCTCCATGTATAATACATTAACGGGGTGAATTATGATCTCCACTGTATAATTTCATTAAGGGGGGATATGATCTCCATGGTATTAATGCATATAAGGGGGGATATTTGATCTCCATGTATAATACATAAGGGGGATATGAAATCTCCATATATTAATACATTATGGGGGGGATATGATCTCCATGTATAATACATAAGGGGGGGATATGATCTCCATGTATAATACAATAAGGGGGGGATATATGATCGCCATGTATATTACATTAAGGGGGGATATGAATTCCATGTATTATAACATCAAGGGGGGATATTGATCTCATGTATAATAATCTAAGGGGGGATATGATCTCCATGTATAATACATAGGGGGGGATATGGATCACGTGTATAATACATAAGGGGGGGGATATGATCTCCGTGTGTATAATACATAAGGGGGGGGATATGATCTCCATGTATATTTACATAAGGGGGGGATATGATCTCCATGTTTAATACATTATGGGGGGGGATATGATCAAACATGTATAATATCATAAGGAGGATATGATCTCTACATGTATAATACATAAGGGGGATATGATCTCCATGTATAATACATAAAGGGGGGATATGTATCTCCATGTATAATACATAAGGGGGGGATATGATCTCCATGTATAATACATAAGGGGGGTATGATCTCCATGTATAATACATTAAGGGGGATATGATCTCCATGTATAAATACATAAGGGGGATATGATCTACATGTATAATAATAAGGGGGGGATATGTGATCTCTCATGTATAATTCACCAATAATACATAAGGGGGATATGATCTACCATGTATAATACATAAGGGGGGATATGATCCACCATCCATGTATAATATACATTGTAGGGGGATTTGATCCATGTATATACATGTATTACCATGTAATACATAAGGGGGGGATATGATTACCTGAATATACATAAGGGGGGGGATTATGATCTCCAGTATTAATACATAAGGGGGGGATATGATCTCCATGTATAATACATAAGGGGGGGATATGATCTCCATGTATAATTACATAAGGGGGGTATCTGATGATAATACATACCATGTATACATAAGGGGGGGATACATAATGGGGGGGATATGACCTCATGTATAATTACATACCATGTATATACATAAGGGGGGATATGATCGCATTATAATTACATAAGGGGGGATATGATCTCCATGTATAATACATGTGTTAATAATACATAAGGGGGGGGATGGATATGATCTCCATGTATAATACATAAGGGGGGGATATGATCTCCATGTCTAATACATAAGGGGGGATATGATCTCCATGTATAATACATATGGCGGGGATATGGATCTTCAATGTATAATACATAAGGGGGGGATATGATCTCCATGTAATAATACATAAGGGGGGATATGATCTCCATGCTATACTCCATAAGGGGGGATATGATATCCATGTATAATACATAAGGGGGGGATATGATCTCATGTATTTAATACATAAGGGGGGGATATGATCTCCATGTATTAATACCATAAGGGGGGTTATGATCTCCATGTATAATACATAAGGGGGGGGATATGATCTCACCATGTATATAAGTACATAAGGGGGGATATGATCACCAATGTATAATTACATTAAAGGGGGGGTATGATCTCCATGTTATAATACATAAGGGGGTGATATGATTCTCCATGTATATAATACATAAGAGGGGGATATGATCTCCCATGTATAATACATAAGGGGGGGACTCTGATCTCCATGTATAAATTACCATTATAGGGCGGGGTTATGATCTCCATGTATAATACATAAGGGGGGGGGGATATGATCTCCATGTATCATATACATAAGGGGGGGATATGATCTCCATGTATAATACATAAGGGGGATATGATCTCCATGTTATATACATAAGGGGGGATATGGGATCACCATGTATAATACATTTAAGGGGGATATGATCTCCATGTATAATACATAAGGGGGGAATATATGATCTCCATGTTATAATACATAAGGGGGGATATGATCTCACCATGTAATACATAAGGGGGGATATGATCTCCATGTATAATAATAAGGGGGATCTCGATCTCACTTGTATAATACATCAAGGGGGGGATATGATCTTCCATGTATAATACATAAGGGGGGGATATGATTTCCATGTATCAATTACATAAGGGGGGATATGATCTCCATGTTTATACATAAGGGGGGGGATATGATCTCATCGTATAATACATAAGGGGGGGATATGATCTCCATGTATAATACATAAGGGGGGGGATAATACCTTAAGTCCCTGCACTTCTTCCGAAAACGCGGCCCGCAACTGGAACCTCGGTTCCCAGTACGGTTGCGGTTTTTCCAGTGCGGGCGGCGTGCCAGTAGATTAATGGCACACCGCCCGTGGGTCCACGTTCCTCTGTGTGGGTGGTGCGGCTGTACAGATTTTTCAGCAGGATCCGCAGCAGCACCACGCGCACAGATTTGAACCTAGCCCTATAGCCCCGTACACATGATAAGAAAAATCGTACAAAAAATTTCACCGAACCACTGATGGAACGATTTTCTCTTCGTTGATGAGCAGGATGTTTTAAACTGATAACGATATTGTGAACAAATCTAAAAACATTGTTCATTGGGCAATACATAGTGATGACGTCTTCCATACAAGTGGAAGTGATGCGGAGTGCCTGGGGCCTTGTAGCCACGCCATTCCGGCCAGAACGAACAATATACCTAACAATTACCAGCAATGAGTATAATATCGTTTATTACATCATCTATATACATAAATAGTGATACATAAAATATAATCTGCACAATTCTGGTTTCATGATCTCATTCAGCCGATCTACTTTTAACATTTGTATTTTTCGTTCGTGTTTACGAAGATTCCTCGGACATAAACATCTGGTTCATCTTCTGTTTCCACTCATGCGTGATAGCGCTTGATAGATTTTTTTTCATACGACCGTCCTACCAGTGCATAGAAAATCGGTCGTTTGGATGCGAAACGACAATATTTTTCACTGTTGTTCAACCGGATCTTTTCATTCACAATATCGTTATCGGTTAAAACATCCTGCTCATCGACGAAGAAAAAATTGTTCGATGCGGTTCTGCAAAATTTTTCGGACGATTTTCTTATCGTGTGTACGGGGCATAGGGCTAGGTTCACATCCATGCGGTTGGTGCCACTGTGGATCTGCTCGAAAATCTGTACAGCCGCACCACCCACACAGAGGAATGTGGACCCGCTGGCGGGTGCTATTAATTCTACTGGCACGCCGAACTGGAAAATGCAACCGTATTGGGAACCGAGGTTACTGTGGCTGCATTTTCAGAAGAAGTGCAGGGACTTCTTTCCTGCATGTCACAGGCACGGGAGTCCATTCAAATGAATGGGCTCCCGTGCCCGCACAAAACGCGGCCTGCATGGCCACACATATGTGAACCGGGGCTT